TTGAGTGGCGTCGTGTTTTGCGGTAGCGCCCGTCCTCGGCGAGATGAGCAGCATGATCCCGGATACGTGTTCGCCAGAGGAAAAACCCGACGTGGGGGTACAAGCACGTAGGCGAGGTGAGATGGCGCAAGGATTCTGGGAGGAGGTGCACGTCAGAGCTGGTCGTTTGATCCATGATTCAAGTTGAGGACACGAAGGTTCGATATTGAATGGATCTCGAGGCCGTCCGGAGAGGGTAGTTCCCAGAGAACACACAAGGCGAGATGACTGGCCTTCCAGGTTTCCTGTAAGGATGGATTCAACTTACCAGAGTTCGAGATAATGGGACTGATATACAGTACGACGAATTGTAACGCGTAATCAAGGCCTCCTAGCTGTAATATAGCAACCATTCCCATAGCTAGGCAGCTAGAAGGTGCGTGGACTGCGCAATACATAGGAGAACAGAATGAGAACGAGCGGCCTCGAGAAAAGAAGAACCAGTGTCGTCGAGAGAAGAAGAACATGCCCGACGACCGCCGCGGACGATGAAGATCATCTCCTTTTGGAATCTGGATATGCTGCCGCTGGACGTCGGGATTAACCAGCGGGATCGGTCGGAGAGGTTGAGAAGAGACTGAGACTGACCACCGAAGGCCGTACGGTCAGGAGAGGGGCGGAGAATCGGCGAACGGTTTGCGTGACAAACGGCCGCGGTGGGCGATTCGGAGTTGGTGGGTGAGTGATTTAGGAAGAACGGGAGATGAGCTTCGCGAATCGCGCTGGGTCTGATGGGTACATGAAGTGACGGTTTCAGGAGGGAAAGACTGTGAGAAACTCGAGCTGTGGATGGGGGAAGAGGTAAGCTGCAGGAAGGCCTCCTATGCATAGGAAAGACAAGCATGATGCTTACGTTGTAGGCCCGAAAATACACCAAGAAGGACTACGAAGAAGGTACCGCTCGTCATGGCATTACTCGACGAATTGAACCTTGGTGCGAGGATCATCGGGTCGTCGACGTCGATCCGCTTGTACGCCTTCGATAAGAGGGTGGTATCGTGGCAAGGATTGTCGAGATCAGGAAAGTGAGGCATAGAATGATTGAATGTGCGGGGATCATCGAAGTCAATTATCCATGTGCGCCGTGTGGGGATGCTTCGATCGAGTCTTCGAGTATGTAAGTACAGCCGTCGTTGTTGTTGTGATCGTTGAGATACCGATAGGGGGTCACTAGTGCGAGATGAAGGGTAGCGTCCAGTGGAATACGTTTGCCGCGGAGGGTGGCCACGTCAAGGTCATTGTTGATTCATGACGGATGTGCATGAAGGCCAATAGACTATGCAGCCTTACACCGGGGCGCTTCACTCGTGCCTGCAGCATCGTCGGACCCATGCCGGTGGTGTGGGTTGGATGTGCTTCCAGCCTGAGCGCGGGTGCGTTCTATGGGCTTCCACAAATTCCGAAGGTCAAGACTGCTACGAGGAAAGATGACAAAGGAGTAAAGGCACAACACACCGTTGGACTAGCAGTAGTACGGGTCGAGGTGTAATCCCCGTTCATCGATGTCATCGGCGCTCGACGCGAGGATGATCCCTTCATGACGTCGGCACCAAAGCCGCCCAGACGAGCCAAGCGAGCCAAGCCGCCAATCGCGATCTCCCTCAACCCGATTCGTCTGCCCGATCGCAGCTCCCTTTGGGTCCGCGCCAATCATGGAGTGTCCAAAAGCGGACTCGGGTTGAGCGGGATCGGTTTGGGGTGCGTACATAAACCAGGGGGAGCGTGCCTCGCCGCCGGCCTGATTTCTGCTAAATACTGCGACTGCGCTACCCGTTTTGCGGTTCTCCCCTCCCTACCTCCCCCCAACCTCTGACCCCGAGGTGAAGCTTGTTGTGCGATCCGATTTGGCAGGAGGATCAAGCCGGCAACTTGATCGCGATTCGCCACCGAGCGGCTCGTCTGCTGCCCACCAACCAACCGCTGTGCTATATAAGACGTCTGGAAGGCCGGACTCGTTCGCATTTACTCTCCCTCCTACCCCTCGCAGCTTCACTCCAGTAGAATGGCTACGGTGTCCCTCCCAAGCATACATGAGATGTTCCCTGGTGCGTCGCTCGTCTCTTGTTCCCGGAAAATGGCTGCTCATTGAAGACTCTTCATATAGCGCACCTCATCTGCAGGGACGAATTCGCCACGACCGTTCCACGATCGCGTGCACGACCTCCACCGCCGTCGTCCTCACTGCCATCGACGTGCTCGGGGCCTTCATCATCCACAGCGGGGCCATCGCACGTTCGAATGCCACATCTGCCCACACACCCACCGGCGCACCTACACGCCCACGCCGTAGCCCACTCTGCGCATACACCCACCTCTAGAGCGTATGGGAGCAGCAGCGGGCACGCTCCGATTTCAGCGGCGAATACTAGCTCAAGGCGGAGCTCATTTGCCGGCGCGCAGTCGCACCCACACGCCCACGCAGGAACGACGGCTCCGGGCGCTCCTTCGGAGCGTAGGCCGCCCCATGTACACCATCCCTATTCATACCCGCATGACGAACGCCAGCGGCGCCATTCCTATCAACAACACCTCCCTCCTTCGACACATCAACATCAACACCAACACTATCCCATGGACACCAACGACGGAGAAGAGGACGCCTCGGAGGGCTCGATCGGGGGGTCGCCCATGCCTGTTAACGCGCAGGTGCCGTCGATGCCAATGCACGCGCAAGGCTATCCCGCAATCCCTCATCATCATCTCGGACCGGGCCAAGGACACCCTGGGATGTCCGTAATGCCGATGCCCCCGCCCATGAACGAGGGAGACGGCGTGCCGTCAGGGAAGAAACACGTCTGCCCGACGTGCTTCAAGAGGTTCAACCGTCCAAGCAGCCTCAGGATACACGTTAACACACACACCGGTGCGACGCGTCAGTTCTATTACTCTTCGTCATTGTAGCCTATATTGACCATTCGTTAACCCTCTAGCTTTCCGCTGCCCATGGCCGAACTGCGGCCGCGAATTCAACGTCAACTCGAACATGAGGCGGCACTACCGAAACCATACCACCGGGACCTCGTCCTCGAATCCTCCTCCGGCTTCCTCTGGATCTCATCCTAACCCAAACCCCAATCCGAACACGCGCTTGGGTTCCAGCAACATCACCAACCACCCTGCGATCCCGCCC